TTAAAATCTTTTGTTGTAAATTCTCTAGAATAAATGTAGAAATTAACTTTCATCATATGTCTTGATTTTATTCCGATTCTAATATCCCTTTTTTTAAAACAATAACTTTAATTTCCTGTACCCCCCTGCGTTGTGACATTCCCGTCTTGCTTGGAGTCAAACGATTAAAAAAAAAGAAACAAACAAACATGTCGGAAAACTGAAGATAGTTCAAAAAGGCGATGTCATTGGAACAACAGTTCTTTTGGGACTATGTGGCTATGTTTATCTATGTTTGCCAAAAATTCATTAACTTCGTAAAATTTGTTTATGTTTGGTGTACGAAAATAAAACTATCCATAATAAACATCCGAAATATGACTTTCATGATTTAAGACCCTTGAAATGTCATACAAAAATAGTTAATCCTAGTACGCCTAAGCCACTATACTTTTATTCACGTTGCACTTATCGACTGAGATGTTTTAATTTTTCTTTCAAGTGCAGAGTCAGTTATAACTGTTGTTATGAAATTATTCGAGATAAGACCAACTCAAATTTCATGGCAGAAAAGAAATGATGCTGTTGGGAGTAATTTTGAGCAAATGTATAGATGACAGAAATGTACTTGTTTAACACAGACTTAAACGAAGAGAGACGAGTGGAGAACATGAAAGTATAAAGGTTTGGGAAAAAATGTGTAGCCTAACTTAACATGGCGTACGTCATTGTAGTAAAATATATCTACATTTTAAATTTCGCGCTGTAGACAATAAAGATTTATGTCTGAGAGCTTCGGCTTTATTTTTCATTTGCGGTCTGAAGTCCTGAGATAAAATATTATTATTTCATTAGTTATTCATTCGCATTTTTTTTGTTATTTTTATCCCTATGTTTTAATTGGAGAGGCGTCAATAGTTTGCAAAACAAAGATCTTCGTATATCACGTACATCTGAAGATAGTAAGTCAGAAAAACTAAGAAAATGTTTTATATTCTAGTAACCAATTAAGGTTATGTCTAGTAAGTGTTTTGATTAAGTAAACTAGTAAAATCTAATGATCCGCGTTCGAATTCTTGCCTTGACCCCTAAGTTTATTTTCGCAATAAAGTCCTTGGAAAAGAAGTGAGCTCTGCTCTTTTGACTCCATTTATAGAAGTGGTTCACAAACTTCTTTTCTTTGGGCCTCATTTTCGAAATGAAAATTTGCTCGTGCCTCACCAAATTTTATGTTACAAAAAGTAAATTTAAAAATAAAAATAGAGAAAGGTTTAAAGGGAGATAACCGCGAATTTGAAGTCAGAACATTATCATTGATAACCCTCTCCTCCAATTTGCGGACCCTAGTTACAATATTTTTAATACTTGATATAATGCAAAAATATCACAATGATAAAATCGGTCAATAATTATCTAAATCTATTTGTACTGGGACTCATGCATGCAATTACAAGTAATTCATAATAATATTTTAAATGTTGAAATCATATTTATTTTTGGCATATGAATTTTTTGAAACTGTTTCTAAATTTTTGATTGTCTTTCAATGATTCCGCCTCAACTTCATTACAGGTGAAAAAGTGACAGAGATATGCTTTTACCGATGTATGTTCAGATTACAACTAGCAGAACATATGAGCGACGAGGAAGACTTAAATCTGGAAGGAAACTGATGCTTACAAACTGAACGAGACTGCAGAAATATCTTGGATACACAACGAAGAAACGAGGCTTAGACCATCTAAAACTAGCATAATATGCGAAAGCAAGAGAAGCAAGGGGAATCAGCGAGTAACATTTAACAAATTTGCGTGAATGAATGGCAGAACAGGTACAATAAGGAAATTGTGGAGAGTCATATCCTTTCACATTATGAAAGGGTATGGAACATAAAATAAAATTCTGAATATTTTATAAAAAACGGGAAAATACGGCATTTTCAATCGTCTATTATTGTTTGTTACATTGCCAGTTTTTTAAAATCCATTTTTCAGTATGGAAAGGACAAGTATGTCTAAGAATATAAGGTAATTGAAATTGCCGTTATATATATATATATATATATATATATATATATATATATATATATTTATTTATTTAAAAATATGATTCCAACGCTACATAAGAGTTCTCATGTTTCAAAACAAGAGCCAAAACCTTCAATATAATTATATGAATTAAATTGAATTAAAGTACCAAGCTCTGTTCCATCTTCAAGCGAAATTTTTTTTTTATAAATTTTTCTTATGTTTTTATAATTTTCTTTTCTGGACATAAATTATGTAGAAAGTATCCGAATGTTTTGTATGCCCGAGGGCTTTTGGATATACCATTACCATGGATGATTTGAGTTTTACTTTTAACTGAATGTATGGATTGGTTTATATACATATATATCTAGAGTTATAGGAATGTTTTATTTTCGAAAACACGATCAGCAGATTGTGGCCGTGTTCATAGTTTATATTATTGAGTGTTGGCCTTGTCTGTTTTATTAATAATGCTTTCATTATGTTTAAGCTTTTTTACATGTGGATAAAGCTGCTATATTTGTATTATCAACGAGTATGTTCCAAATAGAGTTTGGTAGGTCTCCATGTGCATTTAAATGAGACCTAATTGAGCTATGGTCAGGGAGATGTATTGTTGACAATGAGGTTAGCAGTTTTAAATATTTTATAGCAGATAATTAATATGCAGCTCCAGTTAACAAAAACAAGAAAATTAAATTAATTATTCAATATTATTTACGAATTCACATGTCTCTTAAAATAATAAGAACACAAGAAAAATTAAGTAAAAATCTCAACCGAAATACCTTGCCAGTCATTTTTAATTAAAGTTGTACATAAGTGGATATCAAGTTGACCATAAAAGTCATTAAAAGCTCAAATACATGTACTGTATCAAAGGCGGAACATATATAATGAAAGGAGCATATCGACGTGGTATAATAGTTAGAAGGATTGTCTTGCTAGATCAATTACTACTGAGTAGTGAGTTCGATCCTCACTGGGTGCTCCATACTTCGGGCCTTGTGCCACATCTAAGCCGCGCTTAGAAACTCATTGTATAAATAACAAAAGGACTATCATCTTCGACTTTGAAGTGTTCAACATGTCCCGGCTTTGATGCCGTACATTTACTTGCGCTTTCGGTGGCGTTTAAGGTCAGCTGGAGACCCACACAATATTCCAGCAACATGACAAGGAACAGCACCCTTTGTGAAAGCTACAAGTATATTACGCCAGTGCTTATTGATCTGCCTGCTAATACGTCGATGCTCAATGTGTGACCTCTCAAAGGTTGTAATGTCTTTTATGTGCACACTCCACCACGTGGCACAATCAGAAGCCACTTGCTCAAATAACAGTAGAGGAAAGTCAATACAATTTGGCTTTTGCTGACGTCTTTCCTTGTAACGTAATAGCGGGTCTCTTACTATATATAGATTTTCTTAAGAAGGGCACATATCCTCCGCCTTCGTTTTTAATCCATATACCGGGTGTAACGGCAAAATTGTCCAATAGTTAGATTAACCTCTGAAACGTTGTATCTTAGAAATGATTTGGAATTCTCCGAGGTTTTTATAACACAGTTGGAATCAACTTAGACCAATAAGAATGTATAATTACTCTCCAAACTCAACAGAAGAATTGTGATAAAAACGATCATAAACGAAATGACGTTCATCATTAATTTATCATAGCTAAGGATCGGAAGCTCACGAAGGACTGAAATAAGGTTCAAATATATATATATATATATATATATATATATATATATATATATATATATTCTTTTAGGATCATTTTTCAAAGTATTCAAGATTATCTTTTCACTCTCTAACCTTCTAATATTCTGTCCTGGAGTAACAATGTGCCTCACACGTTTCAAGTACGTTTTCATTTTTAAGTCTTTTTTCACTGTTCTTTGGACTGTCATAGCTGAAACTCCACTCTCAAGTGTCAAATATCATGGTTTGAGTTGGATCTTTTCTAATTGAGCTCTTCAGATTTAAGTTGAAATGACGATCCCTCTTCCTGTTGTGACTACCTGATCCAGGTTTCCTATCTACTGTTTCCCTTTTTAAAAACTTATTTACCGTTCTCTTGATGGTTCTTGAATTTACTTTGAATATAGAACCCAGATTATGAATGTTGGTACTATTAGTGAAGGCCTGAATGATCTTATTCCTTTCACCATTGCTTAATTGAGAAGACAGTGGGGCCGACACAAAACTGTTTTAACCTGTTCTCTTTCTAGCTAAACATCTCAAAGGGTTTTTCAGTGATTCTTATGACAAATGGTGTTAAGATGGCAAAATGTTTTATCTGAAAACCTGGAAAAAAGAAATTAGGGTTTTTTTGGTTTTTTAGATATAAAACATTTTGTAGGGTGGACAATTATGCTGTAACACGATCTGGACAATTTTGAAGTTACACCCAGTATATAAACTATAATTTTTTTAAATCTATATATATACTATAATTGTAAAATTTGGAAAGTGAAAATGGCGCAGAAATATGTTGGAAATATTTCCAAGTTTCCATCTGAAATCATGAAGATACGAACTTTAACAAAAATGATTACAGCGAATAAAAAAAAAACGAGGGCGTCAGCTTAAACTCATGCCACAGAAGATAGAGGTTAAAAGAAGTTTGGTTTAAGAATATTATTGGTGGCTAAGTGCTGTGTGGCGACATATAAAACATGGCCAGGACAAAAAAAATGTGACAAATCACGACTAAAAGGAGTAACAAATATCTAATAGCTGATAAACTACTATGGGATCCTGTGGATTCTGCTGATGGTGATGTTTGAAGTGATAAGGATAATAGTTTTGGGCGATGGCAGTGGTATTGGTTTTCAAATGATTGCATTTGGAGATGCAGACGTTAGGAATGAATTCACTCAATGTGGACGCATTTTCTAGCCCAAAAAGACCACAAATCAGTTTTTCTTTTTTTTTTTTTTCAAGTTGCTCTCTTTAAACAAAATCGTGCCAATAATGGATTTTCTTATAAAGACAGAAGAACACGGTACATAAAGAAGAAGGAGAAGAAGAAGAAGAAGAAAAAGAAGAAGAAAAAATAAGCTCGGTCAAATGAATGAAAAAGAATGAAACAGCGAAAGATACGAACAAAAAAAAAGATAAATAAAGAAATAAGTATGAAACGACTTTTTGAAGAAAGATGAAAAAATAATAACAAAGAAAAACATGAAATAAAAGAAAATATGAAAAAAAGAAAAAACGAAAAAAAAAAAAAGAAAGACGGGGGAATATAAAAGCAAGTCGTGAAAGAAAGAATTAGAGAAAAATGTAAGAGATATAAGGAATGTGACGGAAAATGAATGAATGAGGAGAAGAATGAAAGGAAGAAAAGGTGAAAGAAAAGCAAAAGGGAAAGAAATAAAAATTAATGAAAGTAAGTAATATAGAAAGAGAAAACAGAAAAAGAAAAGAAGGAAGTAAACAATGTATGGAAAAAGAAAAATACAAATAAATAAATGGAAAAGGAAAATAACAGGGAGAATGGACAGAAAAAGACAAAGAAAGCGAGAATAAGAAGAGAGAATGAAATATGGAGGAATGGAAGAGAAAAAGAAAAAAGGCAATAAGAAGAGAGAATGAAATATAGAGAAATGGATAAGTAAAAAGAACGAGAGAATAAGAAGGGAAAAAGAAATATAGAGGAATGGAAGAGAAAAAGAAAAAAAGAGAATAAGAAGAGAGAATGAAATAGAGGAATGAAAGAGAAAAAGGAAAGAGAGAATAAGAAGAGAGAGAGAGAGAGTGAAATATAGAGGAATGGGAGAGAATAAGGAAAGAAAGAATAAAAAGAAAGAATGAAATATAGAGGGATGGAAGAGAAAAAGGAAAGAGTGAATAAGAAAAGAGAATGAAATATAGAGAAATGGATAAGTAAAAAGAACGAGAGAATAAGAAGGGAAAAAGAAATATAGAGAAATGGAAGAGAAAAAGAAAAAAGAGAATAAGAAGAGAGAATGAAATATAGAGCAATGGAAGAGAAAGCGGGAAGAGGGGAATAATATATGACAGAGAGGAAAAGCAAAATAGAGGAAATGAAGGAAAGAAAAACATAAGAAAGAGAGAAAGATATAAAGAAATAAAGAAAGGAAACGGTTAAACCAAAGATAGAATAGAAAAGTGTGTGGAAAAGTTTGGAGAGAAAGATAAAAGAGAAGACAGAAAAGAGAAAGGGAAAAAGTGAAGGGAGATAGAAAAAGAAAAAAAATAATGAAAATGATAAAAATAGGAAAGAGTAAAATGACAAAGAAATAAAAAATTTGAAAGAGAAAAACAAGGAGAAAAGAAAGAACGAGACAAGAAAATAAAAAAAAAGCTATGAAAGAGAGAAAGGAAAATTAAAAAGAAAGAAAACGGTAAAAGGAAGAAAGAGAACAGAAAGGGAACCGAAAACAATGACAGAGAGGAAAGAGGAAATAGAAAAAGACTCTGAAAGAGAGAAATGGAAGACATCAGGTAAAATATTCGAAGAGAAAAAAGAAAGAAAAATAATGAAAGATAGCAAACGAAAAGCCAACCACAAAATTATGAAAGAGAGAAAGAGAAGAGAAATAAAAGAAAAGCAATAAAAGAGGAAAGGGAAGAGAAAGAGAGAGAGAAAAAAAGAAAAAAATCTATGAAAAAAGGAAAGTGAAAAGAAAAAATGTTTTAAGAGTGGAAGGAATGAAAAGCAAAGAGAAATAATGTAAGAAAGTAGAAAGAGAAAAAGGAAATAAAAACAATGAAAGCAAGTAAAGGAAAAGAAAGGAAAACATTGTGAAAGAGAAAGGAAAGAAATAAAAAACAATGAAAGTGAGAAAAGGAAGAGAAAAGAAAACACTGAAAAAGAAAAAGGGAGAAAAGAAAGAAATGAAGAACAATGAATAAGAAAAAAAGAAGAAAGAATGAGTACAGCAAAGAAAAACAGGAACGATAAAAGTGAGAAAAGAAGGCGATAGTAAAAAGAAAGACGAAAAACAAGAGAAATCTAGGGAAGAAGAAAATGTAAAATCGGAAGAAAAAATGAAAAAAAAAGGAAAGAGAAACAACAGATGAATGATAAGAGAGAGAAAGAGAGAGAAAGAGAGAGGGAGAGTAGGGGGAGAGATAGAAAGAGAATAGAAGGAGAGATGGAAAGTAAAAACGATGAATGAATAAAAAAGACAAAAAATAAAGTAAAGATTTGAAAAAAAAAAAAAAAATCGTAAACAAAAACAAAATGAACGTTTCCCGCCGTAATTATCTCCAACAGTCGAGACACCTATATAAACAAAAGTTCTCCTCGCGTGATTCAGTATTTAGGCACGTTTTTTCCAGTTAGGACGGCTATTAATTCCTCGGGAACTGGGTCATGAGCATTTTGAAGCCTAAAAGACAAGTTCCCGATTCTGGCACATCGGTCTCTAACTGATATAATTTTTCGCCAACAAGAAGAAAGCATTTTTTTTTCTTGGGACCACGCCATATTCCAATCTGAAATTTACATACACCTGAAAAAATCCCGATTTTAAATTTATTTTAATCATTTCATCCCAATCAAGGCAAGAAAGCCACTAAGACGCAAGGGGGGGGGTTACTGAGTATGAGAGAATATAAGGAAAAGCAATCTTATTAAAGAAACAGAACAGGAATGAAGAAGACAAAAGATAAGGATTTGGATCTTAAGATATTCTCTTGCATCACTATATTTAAAATAAATTGTAAATGCAGATTTTATAAGAAGGCAAGACTTGTCCATTTATATTGGCGCAAAACAACCTTCTTCCCCCACCATATGACTTTGTTCCATATTATGTTAAGCTTAGTAGAAAACCCTCTCTGTCGGACGATAATACATTATTATATATACTGTTTCACCCAATACAAGCTTTGAGAACCAGTCAAGGTCGAAGGTTACATAGAAAAAATGACGAATAAGATATGGGATCTGAATGATAGGAACTGAAGATTATAAGGATAAGGAAGATGAGGATTGACTCTTGAAAAAATCAAAATTGATGTGTTACAAAGGCTGCTCAGAGATGAGCTGATACCTTCCCAAGTTTCGCTGGTGTTGACACTGAATCACCAGATGTCAGAACACAGCAGATATGGATCTGGCATTCCTATGGCGTCAAGGTAAGCTGGCGTGTAATTAGTCATGGTTAAATGTAATTGGCAGAAATACTTATAAAACAGTATTGACAAAGTTTGTAATAAACAAAGAAAGAAAAGAACAGGGCAGAGGTAATACTAATCAAACAATATATGAAAGATAGAAGTCGGCAAAGCAACAGTAATAAATCAAAAACGTCCACAGAATGGTGTTAACACATAAAAGGGATACAGACAAGTGACCGCAGCGTTCTGACTTCAGGACAGGGAAGAACAGAAATATAACGAATCAATAGTTTATTTTTTGGCTAGGAAGGAATCCCAACATGCATCTGTATGCTTTGTCTATGAATCTGAGAAGGGTGATGTTTTTGCAGTCATTCTTTTCGGATTGGATTCACTAGGACTTGGATAGTCAGTGAAGACCAGCTTTTTCTCACTACCCCTTCGGCCTTTTGTATTCAAATACGAAATAAATCGTCATTTCTTTCGGATTGCTCCACTGTTTATTTTTTCCTTCCCCACTTTAATAGTGAGTGTATGTCTTGATTCTATCGAACGGCCGGATTCAGTGGCCACTCTCATTATTTTGAGGAGTGGACGGGACCTACTAATATCTGTTTTTGTTTTAGTTTTGTTTTGTCTGATTCTTTAGTTTTGTTTTCGGGTTCATCCCCCATATCATTTTCATTATTATATAAATCTTTATACAGGCTGTCCATAAAGTTCGTGTGCACTTCAAAAAAATTTATAACTATTTGTATTGCAATAGAAATAATTTGCAAAAAGAATTAGAAAGAAGTAAATGTATATTTTTTAAGGTTTTATTGAAATTGTATTTAAGTTTCCACATGTCCTCCATCATTAGCAATACAAAGGGTAATACGATTTTGCAGTTCACGGAAAACATTTGCCAACTGATTTACAGTAATGCCTGAAATCACATTAGTTATTTTAGCTATACTTAAAACTAGGTACATTAAACTTTATAAACATTTTTTACTGATTATTTCTATCGCAAATACAAATAAAGTTATAAATTTTTTAAAGTGCACACGAACTTTATGGACACCCTGCATATTTTTGTAAAAAAAAATGAAAAAAAAAGACATTTTGAATATTTATTGAATTTTCATGTCATGAGGTGTTATGTCGGTACCTGGTGGATATCTGGTATTGTGGTATATGTTGGATGGAGACGAAACAGACAAGGCGAATGGGCATATTGCATTGAATGAATGGGTCGTGATTGTGATTAACTAGGACTAGAATAATCAGTGAAGACCAGCCTTTTCCCCACTTCCCCTTCAACCTTGTGCCACAATTTTGTATTAAAAGTGCAAAATAAATATTTATTCCTTTCGGATTGGAACCAACATGGCTCCAACTACCATTATCTTTACATACTGCTATCCCATGATTTTTGGCACGTCAATATATATACGTACGTGTGTGTGTGTGTGTGTGTGCGTGTGTAAATAAGTACAGTCATCATAGAGATGTAAGTTGAAACACGTGTTTTTGTTACCAATGTACAATTTTTGCCTTCTTTTACCAGACCTTTCTTTTTAAAGTGCAAAACGGATGAAATGAATAATTTGGAGGTCGATCAGACCGGTGCAAAAACCATTTCTTGCATTTGGTTTTTATTAAAGCTTTCGTTCAGAGCAGGCTGATCGTCACCTAGTTAATAGTGGAGTGCATTCTTCAAGCTTTCTATGCATAACTTCCGGGAAACTGAGGCTACGCGGTGCCGTTATCGCATTTCGTCGAAGAACAATCACGAAATTCCGCCCCGTAATGTGTAGAAAAAAAAAATCATCAAAAGGAAAACTCAAGCTTAAACGAACCAAATCAGTCCGACAGGTGTTTTTGCTTCGTGGAGCACTGGAGTCTTTTGTGCAAGAAAGAGAAACAGCGGTTTTGTTTGTAAAATCTGATATATTCGGAAGTAGGTTTAGGGCAGGAGTGTTTAGTAAGAGACACTTGCATTCATGAAGAGAGTAAGACTGCTTTCTCTGTTTCATATCTAGCATCGTCTGTAGCTGGGCCAAAACAGACGTTTAATAAACCTAGCTAAGTCTGGCATAAGAGAATAAAAATGAATCACCTTTTTAGGACCAGATGGATTAAAACTTTAGTCCTTGTATTCGATGTTGTAGTAATAGTGGAAATAGTGTGATCAGTAACTGAGCAGTACTAAAAAAGAACAAGATGAGAGATTCTGAGACACGAACAAACTCGAAGCCATTTTTAATCATGGATCTAATTAGCCCGAAATGCGATTTACTGATCGGGACACTAAAATCAAGCAGGTATGTAAGTTTTAATATTTTGGAAGTGTTTTAACAGAGGACGGTAATTACGACACTGATATCTGTAGACGTATCGGGTTGGCCAAGGACGTATTACAATAGCTGGGCAGAGTATTGCGAGACAGGGGGGGATTTGATTGGTAACAAAGAAAAAGAGCACGGAGTTGTTACGTGACATCTGTCCTCCTTTACGGCAGCGAATGTTTGAGAAGGAAGAAGAGACTCGAAGCAACGGAGGTATGGTTCTACAGAAAGATGCTGAGGATATCATGAACCGAGCGTGTGAGCAACGATGAGGTTTTAGAGAGGACGCAAACAGGAAGGAGGCTTATACTTAATATCAGGAAGAGGCAGATGATGTTTCTGGGACACGTAATGAGAAAAGAGGGCCTGTAGAATCTGATACTCACAGGGCGAATAGAGGGAAAGGGACAAGGGAAGGTCCATATGACATACCTGGCGGGCTTAAGCAAGTGGATGACAGAACGTGGTCTGAGGGAGGTGACAGAGGGCCGGAAATTGTTGTGAACTGCAAGGGTTAGGGGGAAGTTTAAAGGCACGATCGCCTACGTCTTAAAAGGACACGGCATATAAAAAGAAAGAAAGAATTTAGAGCAGTGTATCCCAAACGTGCGCCACGCCTCATAGGTATGGTGGAAGAAGATAGCAGGCGAGGCGGAATAACTGAAAGACAATCATAGAAACAGTCTTAAAAAATTCCTATGCCAAAAATAAATATGATTTCGGAATTTAAAATATTGTATGGATTACTTGTAATTGCATGCAAGAGTTCAAGTATAAACAATTATCAATAATTATTGACCGATTTTATCACTGTGATATTTTTACATTATATCAAGTATTAAGGATCTAGTAACTAGTGTCAGCAAATTGGAGGAGAGAGTTATCAATGATAATGTTCTGATTTCGAATCCGCGGTTATCGCCCTTTATCCCTCTCCCACGACCTTCTTTACCGTAGGGGTGCTTGTGTTTTTTCACCGTGACTTCTCTTTGGTGAGGCGTGAGCAAATTTTAATTCCGAAAATGCGGCCCGGAGGAAAAATATTTGGGAAACACTAGAGGTTAGAGATTTAGTCTTGCAGGTGATGACTGATAGTGAATTCAATGGGAAAACGATATATACATTTTTTTTATATATATCATGAACATTTTAGAGAAATCTATGACAAAATGATGTTTACAGTGATGCGAGTACATATGCGTATGAAGAAGACGGGGACTGAGAGTCTTAAATTTAAATGTTTTTGGGAGGATATGTAGTCTAAGGGATTTCGTTTGGTTTATTTTTATTTTTGTTTATGTTTTTTTAATCAATTTTGTTATTAAATATCCCAAATTTTGATAACACAAATCTTCTAGAGTGAAATATTGTAAAAAAAAAAAAAAAAAACTAGACGCAAATTTACTGTAGACGATCTAGCGATAATAAATTCTATGTAAACCACATTTGTGAACTCGTGACGGTTTCAAATTAGCTTAATAATATATATATATATATATATATATATATATATATATGTGTGTGTGTGTGTGTGTGTGTTGTGTGTGTGTAAGGTACTACCGATATATACAGTGAGTTATGCAGATAGGAGCAGTATAGGCAGAGTAATCAACACTGCATCTTGAATATCCTTTTTCCATCTTAAATCATGCAGTTTGTGTTCTATGCCAAAAAACGTATATATCTACAAACGTTCTATCTGCGCTACTGAACACTCTTCCACATAAATATTGCAAATTATATATATATATATATATATATATATATATATATATATATATATACACACAACAAGTAAGATAAGTACGAATAGAGTACAATTCCAACGTTCGTAACATTTAATTTAATACAGGGCTCAATACAAAACCAATATTACGGTTGAAAAGTTCTATATTGGTAGTACTAAGAATTCTTTCATGACTAGGTGGTATCAACATATATTGTCCTTTACTAATAATACTTATAAAAATAATACATCACTTTCTAAATATTTTTGAATTTAAAAGATGATAATAAAACTCCTAAGGTGAAATGGAAAATTTAAAAAATGACAAGGATATGTAGATCCTTACATGAACCCTGTTTTTGTGTTTACATGAAAAATTGCTAATTATCATGTTCTTTTATTAAACAAAATATCCGAGTTGACGGTAAATTGTAAACACAGTCTACCTTTTTTATTAAAATTCAGTTAGAC